TTGTATTTAGTATTATTATCAAATACTAAAACTCATTCTTGCCACTATAATTTTCGTTTGGTCAAATAAAAAGAATTAAGATAAATATAAGACGGCCAAAACAATAAAAAGAAAATCAATAGAAACACTATGATGAGTTTTCTTGTCTTTTTTTCCAATTAGCTTTCAATAATCACACCAATAAAGCAAAATCAACTAAGCACGTTTCATTCTAATAAAATGATTATAATCAATCAATCAAAAAAGAAAAGCAACGTGTTCGCACTTAACCTAAGATTTTCATTTGTGAATTTATGTAACCCAATTTGTGTGAATCACGACCTGTAATAATCCAAGCTCAATCGTCCAATTTACCTGTTTGTGTCATCTTTCGGTAGAAAAATGAAGATTAAATCATTTTACAACAATATTCAATATTTTAATTTAAAGCTAAATTATATTATAAAACACTCACGGTTAAACGAAAGAATCCATATTATTATCAAGTGACTCTTTACAATTTAAGTAATAAAATATTTATTATTATTATTATTATTATTGTTTAGAGATAACTGTGAAAAGGCAAATCCCCAACCTTAAAAAAAAGGTTAAATTTTCAATTTGATCCTTAAATTATTATATGAATCATTAATTTAGTTTTTAAATTAAAAAATCTCTAATTTAGTTCTTAAATTATTGTATGGATCCTAATTTGATCTTTATTGTTTATTGATTTATTCTAAATTGGTCTTTCTATACAAAAAATAACTACTGTATTTTATTATTAACGTGACAAATTATCGTTAAATAATTATTTTTTGTTGTTAAATAATAAACATGTCAATTATTTTTTGTATAAAATGATCAATTTAAAGTTAAATTAATAAATAGTAAGATAAATTAGAGGATCATATAATAGTTTAGGGATCAAATTGAATTTTTTTTAATCAGAGACCAAATCAAAATCTGTATAATAATTCAAAAATCAAGTTGAGTGTTTAAAAAAAAAAATAAAACTTAGTCCAACCGATTTAGCTCAAGAGGGAGGACAATCATGAAATTTTCAGAAAACAAGTGAGGGTATTTCCGTAATTTAAGGTCCAGAGAAAGAGACAAGGCGGTGGGTTGCAAAGGTAATAAATGCAGAAAGTTGAAAGTCTTGTCTCCCCGCCCTACTTTCAAACTATCACTTTTTTCTCGGTGGCCGGAAAAGGAAAGGACTAAGTTTCACGCGTCAGCTTTTCTCATACAAACACTACACGACAATTCACACTCCTCCCCTCCCCCACCCCAAAACTATTTCTCGCGATAAAACGCCAATCTATCGGCAAACGATCTCTCTCTTTCTCTCCGGTCCCACGCGCCGTTGTGGTGGCGACTCGCGATTGGTGTAGAAACGCGTAAAGGTGAAGGGCGTGCGTTAGAAAAAGGTAAAAATGATTATGACGATATATATTTTTTTTTGTTCTTTTTCGTTGCTTAAACTCTGGGTTGCAACATTATAGGTGTTAGTTTGCTTCAGCTATTTTAATTGTGGTGGTTAGTAATTGATATTTAATAAAATATTTAATTTTTATTTTTTTATGAAAATTTAATTTTGCTTATTATTTATTTATTTGAGAATTTTTTTATTTTACAATTGAATTGTATATATCAAATTGTAAAATAAAAATAGTTAAAGGAGAGAAAAAAACTCTAATATTAAAGGGCATGTATCTCATTAAATAATTTTTAATGTATAATTCAAATTATATAATAGTTTTTTGTTGTTTGAAATTAAATAAATTAATATTTCAAAATATTCTAACTAATTGTTAAAAAAGATATATACTAAAAAATTCAGTTATTAAATACACTCATAATATTACTTGAAAAAA